CAGTAATGTGTCAGGGCAAGGGTATGCTTGATTTATTCAAGAAATAGCAAGAAGACAGGGAAAAAGCAAAAATCATTTTGCTGTTGTAGTGGTGACATTTGTAAAATTTCATCATTGTTGACACCTCATACTGTATTAGTTTCATATTTAAAATGAAAGTTATAGTATCTTTGGTATAATCTTATTTGTGCCCCATGTTTGTCAAAAAAATTCAGTCAAAATTCTTCTCAGAATTTTAAAATCTACCTCAAAACTATGATCTCTGATTGGTATATATTTTAAACCTCTTAGTTCCCACAAACATGTATTTGGCAATGAACTGTTATGTAATATGCAAATATGCCATTTAATAAGAGATGATGTCACTATAAAGAAATCAAGTAAAAGAATTTTATTTTGGAAATTAAGAAATTAGGCACAAAGAGATTTGTTATTCCAAGGAAGAGAAATTCCAAGACTTATAGTTAACATGAAAGCCCTCATTCTTTTTGAAATGTCACTGTTCCTTTGACATTTTACTACATTTTTTATTTCATTAACTTTCTTCTAGAAATTGAAACAATCATGATAATTATAAAATTTGCATGGCATTTATCTGGGTTAATGCCTGAAACAAGCAAGACCAATATAAAGTTAGCACATTTTCACAAGGGGAGGGTCAGGTAGCTGTTTCTCACAGTAAGTGTCCTGCTCCTGCCTCCAGGCCTCACATGAAAATGAACCATAATCTCACCAGCTTATAAATGTAGCACAAAGTGTACACACCGTACCTTGCCCAACTGGTCCTTTTTGACGAAGCCAGTGGCTGCTGCAATGCTCCCTGCTCCCTCCACTGTCTTCTGGGCTACTGCTGTCACACCCGTCACCACCGCTCCTCCAACATTTGTCACTTGCTCTTTGGTCTTCTCAGCCACTGGTACAAATCAAGAGCAACAACAGATTAAAGGGTGGTGGAATAACAGTGACTTAAAATCATTCCACTTCCACTAGCCATCGACTTCCATACACCTGTATCTACACGTGCCATAGACAACTGAGGGGTCAGAAGAAACAAGCAACCAAGGTGTCCAAGTGAGTGTGGCTCAACCAAACATTGAATCTCGGCTAAGATATTTTTGTTAAAGTCATGCAGTATTAAAAAGTGCTTCAAGTTTAATGATCAGGAATGTAAAGCCATGAGTGATTTGGATTTGTTTTATACTAAGGAAAGCAATTCTTACAGGTGCAGTTATAGTTGAACCAGACTCAACAAGAGTATTTCTTTATTTCAATTCAGTGCCAATCCTTTGAGCTCACTCAGCAAGTTCATTTCCACCACACATTCTAAACAACACAATACATACTTGTATTTATTTATTTATTCATTCATTCATTCATTCATTCATTCATTCATTTGAGATAGAGTTTCACTCTTGTTGCCCAGGCTGGAGTGCAATGGCACAATCTCAGCTCACTGCAATCCCTGCCTCCTGAGTTCAAGCTATTCTCCTGCCGCAGTCTCCTGAGTAGCTGGGATTACAGGTGCCCA